CTGTATTTTTTTTTTTTTTTCTTTATTTATATTCAGGGAAACAAATTATTGGCAAATTTGGAAAAATATCAGAAATGTTTATCGAATTCTGTTTGTGTAATACTTGAAAATTTATAAAATTTATAAAATAAAAAGTTGACTAAATGGCTCGTTTCGATAATACATCATCCGATTCTTTGTGTTGACCTAGCGTACGTGTTCAGCCGCTTTCGTGTGCGTGTGATATTTTTCGCAGTAGCAGAATTATCAGTCAAACACACAAAATCCAATTATTGCATTAAATTATAAACATTTGTTACAGTTTTGGTTAAAATTGCGCTCCCAACTGAGAGGAAAATGCAGCAGCCTAATAAGAAGTATAAAAAGAGTTAGGTGCTCTCCATTATATAGTTTTTAACGGAAGGGAGGAAATTTAAGGTAAGTTTATATGTATGTTTGTTTTTCAGCCAACGACTGGGTGCGGGACTACAAAAGTATGGTAGAACCATGAAAGTTTTGTATAATATTGATATTGCAAATTTATTGTAGATAATAATTGCAAAAATATAGCTACAATGTGTCGCTACTACTAGCAGCTGAGGGAAATGCTTTCCAAAGATTGTTCCGGCCATGCAACCGTTACTGGTTACAAATAATGTAACTGGCTTGCCTTTGGCAACTTCTGCGCCATCAAAAGCAGCACCTTCTGTTGCACAAATTCCCAACCAACGATCAACTCGGCCACCGAAATCTTCCCCTGGACAATTGGCGGCTATCGTAGCAGAGAATGTTGCCATGGAAGAGAAGAAGCTCGAATTCGAAAAATATTAGTTTGAAGAAGAAAAGAAAATTGATGAAAAAATAGATATCCTAAAAAATAATTTTATATAATAATTTAAGTAGATGAAATATATAAATTGTTATATGTATTAAGGAATGAAAGAAATAATATCTAAATATGAAATTGATGAAATTGATAAAAAATAAAAAGTAATTAAATATGATAATTTACATTTGTATTTATTTATAGCAGTCAGCTTATTTTTTTAGGTTTCATAATTATGATCTTATTTAAAAAGTTATATGGAGTTGGTATACCTACATCCTGTCAAGAAAGAATCGGGAATTCTTCATTTCCCCCTCTCATCTCCCGCTTATACGGAAAGCAGGTAAATTGTTTTTATTAGGTAGGTACAACTATCCTTAATTATGTTGCCAAAAATGAGGGCGATCTGTCAACCAGTGTGTTTACAGCAGCGGTTTATGTCGGTCCACCTCAGTGGTGTTTGTCGAATTTTACAATGGTCGAAAATATTGATCAAGGTATTTGTGTTAAATTTTGACAAAACGTTCAACAAATATATTGAGCAATAAATTTTTTTTAGAATTTCGAAACGCATACCCTCTACCTTTTTTTACAAATGCTAAAACGTACTTAAATATGAAATTTCAGATTTGTAACTTGATTGCAACCAGTGCCGACTGAGCTCTAAGGTTTAATAAAAAATTTAGTTTAGGCTTGAAATTTAATTTTATCCAAAACTAATTAAAACAAAAATGAAGTAAATATGAGTAAAAATTAAAAGGATTAACAAAAACTTTAATTTAAACATAAATTATAATAATAATTAATTAGGGTGGCTTCTCTTGGTGTAGTTTTTTTAGAGTCTGGATAAAGATTTCTTTGTTTCTGGGCATAACGCAACCAAAACTGTTGCTCTTCTTCAGCCGTGATAAGTCCATTTAAATCTTGCATTAATTTAACACCTCTTTCAGCAGTGGCATTTACGACCTTCAAACGACTTATGTATTTATCTTCTAGCTTCCAAAAAACCAGGATTATTATCCCAACAAAATATATCTTCCCCCAAAAAAACTGTCGTCGATCTGCAGCCGAATTAGAAATTGCTTGCTTCTTTCCGTCACAAAATCACACAGCGTCTTATCTGAAAGATATTAAAAAACTAGTTTAAATATGCAAAAACTAAGCCACGAAACTTCGAAAAAAGAAACTAGAAAGTATTAAACTTACTAACAAATTTTGCGTGATTTCTTCCTTCGATGGGACATAGCGTTTGGCTTAATCTGAACTTTCGTCTCTGTTTAAAGGCCTAACTATAATGTGCATAAGCTAACTTAAGCCAGCGTAAGCAACTGCCTGAATACACACAAATTGTATGTTGCAGCTATAATCTAGTTAACATCAAGTTTCGTTCAGTTTTTTCAAATGTAATTTTCTTAAGGAAAATGCGAAACTGGTCGCATAAAAATCAATAAATTTAGATTTGAATATGGAGAACGACGAATGCTTTATACAGAATTTAATAAATAATATTGAAAAAAAGAAATGTTTGTACGACAAACGAGATGCTTTTTATTTCAATCGTACAAACAAAGAAAAGGCATGGAAAGCAATTTCAGAAATATGCGGTAAAAGTGGTATGTATTAACACTGTTATAGGAATATTTATTTTTTTATTATATATTTTGTATGTTTGTTTTAATCAAAAGAACAAGAATGGAAGCTACTCCGGGAGCGCTTCTGCAAGGAGATAAAAAGGTTAGAAGCGCCATCAGGTAGCAGAATGAGCTACTTAGATGAATGGCGTTTTTTAATACCTATGATGTTTTTAAAAGACTCCGTCACACCGCGTCGGTAGGTATATATAACTTTTTATATATAACTTTTTCATTGTGCAGCACTTGGGATAATGCAGAAGTAAATACAGACTCAGCCTCGGAGTCATCGATTGAAACATAGTTCCTTGTGATAAATATCTTTCAGAAAAAGAAAAAAGAATAAGACATAATCAAAAGTATTAAAATGAACGAACTAACTGTAATGTCAAAGCTAATCGACATTCCGGATGCACAGGCTCCCTCAACGAATTCTCTTTTAAAAAGGGCTCAACACAAGTAAGCAAAAGTCCATATACGTGTGGCGTCATTCGCGTGTATATAAAAAAATTAGTGTGGTCAATCCTTTCCGTTTCTAGGTAATGTACAAAAAACCATCCTTTTTCCTCTTTCTGTTTATTTCCCTCACTGAACATGACCGAACTCTTTTTTTGTAATTTCACTCATTTGTTAATATGCGTATTCCGTCTAAAACAGAAATAAGCATTTTAATTATTTTTAAATATTTTAATTTTCTATTCATTTTTGAAAAATCTAAACGAAATATTAAACCAAAACACAATTGCTTATTGACATTTTCTTCTGCATGTAAATGCATTATAGTCATTCAACAGTCTACTCTTCATTCGTTATGCATTTGACAGGCTTTTCATTAATTTTTTGACAGTAACATACGGCGGCGTACGCACATTATAGTTAGGCCTTATATTATTCATAATTTTTGTCTAGGTTTTTGAATCAACTTCTTCATCAAAGAGTGAAAACATGACTGTTTCTTCACATAAATGATGAACAAACTTACTTGCTTATGGATGCCTTGGAACTTGTCGAGTGTAATTTTTCATATTCTTTTAGAACTTTCAAAAAGCACAAGTATTGGTTAGGTGCTTTAATTGCCACTGTGCATTCGAGCCAAGGTTTAGTATACAAGGTGACGATAAATAAGCAAACATCTTGTAGGGAATTTTTGTCCTTTGCAGTAGTTTGCAGTTGCGATTGAAGTAAAAATATTTTTATAGAATAGATCGCTCTCGCCATCYATCGCGCTTGATGTAAAGCTCCTGGGGGTCTGAGTTTTAGTTTTATCTCTGTATCTCCTCCTAAGAACACAACGCATAGTTCAACCAGTTCGCGGTAATCGTCTCTAATAAAAGGTTTGTCCAGTTCAGTCTAATAAAAAGTTAATAAAGATGTAATTTTTGTCTCAGCAGTATGTGCTTTAACGAAATTCAAAGGTGACTCAATGTTATCGATGTTAATATTTTTCAAATTGGAAATTCGGAGTTTGCTCAATGTTATCGATGTTAMTATTTTTAAAATTATCTTTTTAACTTTTTCAAAATTGGAATATTGACTACTTGTAATTTACTTTACCTCTGTTTGAAAAGCAGCTGTAAACACCGACTCATAAGTATGATTGCAACAAGCAAAAAGCAACCATTCCCTTTATAGAGTCTGCTCCAAAATAGCACAAGCTTYACTRAAGCAGACAGTATTTGTAGCTGTTGTATCGCAGGCCATTATCTGAACTTTATGATGGAGGTCCCAGTCAAAGAGTGGAGTTGAAATGGCTTTAGCTTGATGTTTTCCAGAAGAACTCTCCAATTTTGTTACTGCAAGAAGCTGTTGGAGGATGGGGTCATGTGTAGAAGTTCACGCCAGTGAGGAAAGTCTCTGATCGCCATTCACTTGGGAATGGCCAGAAACGATTCTTCTACATATGACTCAAGCAGCTCACGACTTCCGGTCTTTGACCAAGTATCCTCTGGGTAGCCTAATAACATCCGTTCGAAGGCGAGCTAAAGTGAGAAGGCGAAATATTCCCTACA